TTGAGGGCATTAGCTCACTGTGGCCCCCTTTGCCTGGCAAAGCCATAAAGCTATTCTCTTCTACTTCACCAACCCCTCCCCCAGATATTGTGGTAAAATGTACACCACATAAAATTACCATTTAACCATTGAGTATACAGTTCAGTGGCGTTAAGTACATTCACATTGTTGTGCAAATGTCACCACCATCCAATTCCAGAACGTTTTTCACCTTTCCAAACTAAAACTCCACATGGTTTAAAGGATAACTCCCCACTTCCCTTCCCCCTTACCCCCCGCCAAGCTTCTAAGCAGCCCACAATCTACTTTTGTGTCTCTGAATCTGAACGTGAGCTTCTGGATTGCCCCCGACCAACGGACACCTCTACTCAGACCAGCCTGCTTCAGCCTCTCTGTCCAGGAGGCTTCTCAGGCTCTTTCCCAATTTCTCCTTCTTTCACTTTTCATACAACTCACATGAGCTATTTGTCTGATCCTTCCATGCGGGCCTTCTTCTTGCATCTCTTTTCATTTCACCTCACAGCCCGGGAAGCCTGATCTCCGTCCTGCAGGTCAGCAGGGACACCCCTCCCAGGACCCCGTCTTTGGTCTCTGCCCGAGTCCCCTCCTGCGCAGAGCACCTCCTTTGCTGTCAGTCCTGGAACCTTTGGTCCACAGCTGATGCTGCTCGCTTCCCACTGTTCACAGTTGCCTCCTCAGGATCCCCACTCGAATAAATGGGGTCCCGGAAACCTAAGTGGAGAAATGGAACTTACGTGTAAGGTTTGGGGCCTCGGGTCCAAGAACCATGGCCGTGCCCAAGCCTCTTGATTTAGGAAACATTCCATCTGCCACCTCATGGAGCAGAGAACATCCCTATGTGTGGTAAACCCTTAAGGATGACATTCAGTTCCTAGTAACAGAAACAAGAAAAAAAACACTCCAGAGTTTTTGGTTATTTTTTCTTCCCTGGACACAACCTGGAGACGGGACGTGGAAGGCTGGTGTGGTGATTCATCCTGCTGTCCACAGGTTTTTTCTTTTTTTTTGGACTTTTGACCTCCTGTCTCATACTATTCTCCAAGTTGCCTCTCGGGTTTGTTGCTCTCATGAAATATTTTACCTTCAATTATCATGTCCTCCTATTTGCTTTTGCATTCTGAAATGGAATTAAATTCCTCCTTAAAAGTTCTAGTGTATGGTATCTAGTAGATTACAACATGGTGAAGAAAATATGAGAAACAAGGGATGGCCCTGGAAACTGCAGTTCTGGATTGCTTAATTCTGGGTGGTGAAACACATCTTGGAATAATTCAAATGAAAACGTGAAGCAGTTACTACAAATGCTCCCTGCAGAAATAGGAAAATGCCCACACCTGCCAGTGACGGGATGGGATTTGCCTGGTTGTGTGGATAGCTGGGTACCTGTTCTCCACCCATTTCTGTGAGTTCTCATGCTGCAAGTGTGTCCCACACAGGAGCATGTCACATGCAGAAGTGTGTGTGTGTATGTGTGTGTGTGTGTATGTGAGCTAAGGTTTTATTTCCACAATTCTTATAAAATCTATTAAACTGGCCTTTGGCATAAGTTCCTTGAGGGACAGATATGAAGCCCTCTCTGTGTTGTCATTGGAATGAATGGCCAGAATTGTATTCCCCTCGTAAGCAACACAGGGACCTAGGGATGAGGCTCCCTGGCTTGTAACTCCCTCTCTCCTGCTCTCACTACAAAATCCTTCCTGATCATCTGGTATCAGCGAGGCCAACTCTTTCTGGTGCTTTCTAGGCCCCGCCCCAATCCATGAAATCTGATCAAGAGCAGCCAATGAGCCAGAACGATGCCTCCAGTTTGTTTCTGCCAAGCATCCTACACAGGGCTGGCTGCCAGCATGGCCTTGATGACCTGGAAATCCGATCTCATCACTCCGTGATTAAAATCCTTTGTTGGCTCCCACTGCAGGGAATACAAGGTCTCTGTGATGTCTCTCTGGCTACCACAGCAGGCACGTCTTGAAAATTCTGATATAGACCCCCAAATATGTTCACTTGATTTTTAACAAAGGTGGAAAGACAGTTCAATGGAAAAAGAAAAATCTTTTCAGCAAACTGTACTGGACGATTGCACTGGGTTGGCCAAAAAGTTCGTAGTTACCACAACACACCTACTAGAATGGCTAAAATTTAAAAGGCTGACAATACCAATAGTTGGCAAGGACATAGAGCTACTGGAATCCATACGTTCCACTGCTGATGGGAACGTAAAATGGTACAGCCACTTAGGAAAATCGCCATACAGTTTCCCCAAAACAGTTGAGCATCTATGTGCCAAATGACTAAGCCATTCCAATTCTAGGTATTTACTCAAGTTAAATGAAAATGTGTGTCCACCTGAAAACTCGTACACAGATATTGTAACAGCCTTAGCCTAAGAAAAAACGAAATGCCCACAAACAGGTGAATGGATAAACAAGTTGTGGTATATGCATAAAAGGACTATTGCTCAGCAGTAAAAAGGAACATGCTACTGATGGACACAACCATATACATGGATCTCAAAATGGTCTTGCTGAACGAAAGAAGCCGGACTCAAAGAAGTGCCTCCTGCATGATTCACTTACATAAAATTCAAGAAAATGTAAACTAATCTCTACTGACAAAAAGGAGACTAATGGTTGCATGGGGCTGTGGGCTGTGGGAGGGTGCACTGTGAATGGGGTGATGGAAATCTTTTCAGTGGTGGCTTTGTAGGTGTATATATCTATCAAAACTAAGTGGATGCAGTTTGTTGTACACAAGTTAGACCTTAAAATTGATTTGAAAATCTCTATGGGTGAGATATGCTTTTAAGTGTTTTTCTATTTGCGTACCTTAAATTTTAGTATTTGGGAATTATTGTTCCATTTGAATAGAACTGAAAATGCAAATACATTATAATTTCCAAAACAGTAGAGCTGGTACAGTTCTGAAAAGGGAGGAGATATGTGTGTACAAGAAGTAAGGTCATTTCCTGGAGAATCAGAGGGACTAACGGTAAAAGCTTAGGATTAGGGGTCAAGTTCACATACTCAGACCTAATGATGTTTATTTTATGAGTGGAACCTGGGGTCTTCCATAATTATAACACACAATTACACATTTGAAAAATTATAAGCACAGGTAAGACATTTAATTTTTGAGCTTTAATGGACATTAAACATGACATAAACTAAGGATTTAGGTATAAAATACCTAGTTTTGGAATTGCATTTTAAGATTCTGAAAGGAAGTTCAAGATGCTATTTATATTTCCTTTCATTGTTCTGCTTATCTGTTTCTACATTACCACCATCTCATATTGATTCTTTGTGTACCTGTCTACCCCGATGCTCTGTAGATGTGGTTTTACCTCATGTCAATCTTTCATTGTTTTGTTTATCGCATCCTAATTGCAGGCTATTAAGAGATGGTTATGTTATTTATTTAAATGTCAAAAAATTATTCATGTAAAAGGAAGTAAATGAAATGTCTGTGGTCCTACACAAACTTCTACTTAGTACAAGGACTTAACTAGTTCTGAAAAGCAGACTTTGTATTTTAAATGTCCTTCATATAAATACATTTTATCCAGTTCAAAAATTTGATTCAACCAACAATGACTGATTTCATATCCGTACATGGTACTGGGCATTTTGGAAGATGCAGAGATGAACCAGACTCTTTCTCAGTCCTCTAAGAGCTCTCAGTTGGCTTTCCATTGACTTACTGATTAATTAAAAGGCAGATTTATCTGTCATTGGTAGTGCATCTTGTCTAAGTGATTGCTCCTTAATAGCTTATTAGTTTAGCTTAATAATTTCACTTAGTGAAAGTCAAATGAACGGCTTGATACCATGAGGTCAGCTGCAGCAAGAAGGGGTACTTTGGGATGAAATGGCTAATGGTGTGTGGAGAGGAAACTCAGAACTACCCTGGGGTGGCGGTGGGGAGCACATTCTAATCCATGTCAGTGTCAGTACCATCTTAGTGCTTGGTAGTGGTCATGGGCCATAGGCAGGAACCCTCTGGAAACAGTATCTAACCCCCAAAGAGAGAAAAGGACATATTTTTGAATGAGTGGCTTTTTATTTGCACCTCAAATCACACCCTGTTGGAAATCCCCTGAACCAAGACAAATCTTCATTAAAATTCATAGAGAACATCACCCCCTTGACCTCCAGGGCAAGTCTGAGAAGTTGACAAGGCAGATATAGAGTCTATTCTAGAGACTGTAGAAGTCAATGACCACACTTGCCTGAGAAGACATGTAATGTGAGAACAGATCTTCATAGTTCTAGTCTCCCGTTCTTTGCATGACTTCAGGATGGAAGCAAGAGAAGCGGTGGAAATGATGAAGGTATGAGAGATGTCATTGGTACAAATTAGAGAGAGCATGATTAAGGTGTTTTTTTTCTAAAACAGGGCCACTTCTCCTCTGGCAAACTTGTTGTTAGGGAACAAGTGTAAAAAAAAGACAAGAAGTGAAAAAAAAGAGGAGAAAGGTGAAAAGAAGACACCAAGGATGGGAAGAGTGGGAAATGAATCCTATCAGTGTGTGGCTGTGGAGAAGGAGGGAGGACTTTGAATCACCTGTAATTATACCTGCCTGCTCCCGTGTATTGTGGTTTTAAGTCTTACCTGATAATTAGACGCCATCTGGAGACAACAGAAGGGCGGGGAAGAGTTGCCTAAAGAAGTAAGAGAATTTTCTGAACATTATCTTATACAACCTAGAAGGCAAGTTTTGTGTCCTTCTAGAAACCAAACAACTGCCGGCCAACTCCCTGTTGGCTTCTCTCCTAAGGCCAACAGCTTGGGTTTTCACAGTCACTGGATTCCCTAGGCAACAGAAGTGTAAACTTGAGAAGAGGCAAGGCCGGGATAGGGATTGACAATGAGCTGAGCCAATGAGGCTGTAAGTTTGCAGCAGTGATTCCTAGACATCCAATTGGCAGGAAGAGGGTGGACCAGGAGGTGTGAGGACAGAAGGTAAGAGGGAGGAGGCAAAGGGGGATGGGAGGGGACTGGTCCTCCCAGATGCAAAAGGGAGCGTCCATAGTTTCAGTTCAAAGCAACTGTTGGCAACAGGTTACCATTCAAGGTAAATCAAAGTTTTAATCTATTATACTGATTTGATCACTTTTGTTTCATTTTAGCTAAAGAAGAAAGAAGACAGTAGATGTTACCTTCTAAAAAGAAAATCAAAAAGTTGATGAGCCTTCTTGGCTGTCTGTCTAGGGAGGAAATAACTTGGTACTGGGAGAAGCCTTTGTCATCTTTGCATAGAGGTGCTCAGATAAAAATGTACAAAAATAAATTTCTTTCAGTAAAGGGGAAGGAAATAACCATCACTGAGCAGTCACTATGTACAGGGTACTTAACTGTGAAATGTCTGGGTGAATTACTGTAAGTAGCCTGTAAGACTATCGATAAAAGTGAGCTTCAAGAAGGTTAAATATCTCCAAGTCAAAAAACAATGAAAAATTCGAGCTTTGGTTCAGACTTTGGTTTATCTAACATTCTAAGTTGTGCTATTTCTGGGGAACCCTGCCTGCTGAACTGACCACTTAGATAAGAATCAGAATTCTTATTAAACTGACACAGCATGTTAAAAATTATATTAGAGAGTTGATTGGATTGATCATGAAGTTGAGAAGGACCTTAGGAAATGGCAATACCATTTAGCAAGGTGTCCACCTCACTTGCCTCCAGTCTGGGGCATAGTTAAACCATACTAAGTAGATGGAATTCTTTCTTGTTTTTTAAAGCTCTTATTTTTTCCTCAAAATCTTACAACTACAGAAATCTTTTAAATTTGTAACTGTGCATTTTAAATAGTGAGGTTTAAATTGTGAACGTTCATTTGTATTTATATTCAAATAGTAATTATCTAATAACAATAGCAATTATTAATTTCAGTAAGTAGCAGTCTGCTAGTATTCTGTTAAGTGCTGAAGGAGACACAAAGCCTGTGTCTTTAAGGACCTTTTAGTCTAGTAGGAGAGGCAGTCCTGAAAGCAAAGAGTTATGTCATAGTGCAATGTGGATGTATGTGAGCTCTGCACAGATTTTACAAAGGAAGATGCAAGCTGTTTTACTCTGGAGAGAGAGGTTATAGGAGGCTTCACCACAGTGATTCTACAGGGAAGAGTAGGACTTCCCTAAACCAACAAGGGAGGGAGGGTGTTCCTGAAAATGAGACTCCCTGTACAAAGGCACAGAGATACAGAACAACATGGTGTGTTTGGGGAATGTGAGTGTGTCTAGATGCAGAATAGATTTTGGAGGGGTGGAGATTAGTTGAAACGGCTGGAGAGATAGGCAGGGCCAATGTATACATCAAATGCTAAGACATTTGCTCTTTACCTATATACAACCAGGAGCCACCAAGGGGTCTTAGAGTATGAAGTTTGGATTTCCATCTTATAAAGATCACTCTGCTAGTCACCTGGAGGCTAGATTGGAGGTAGGGAACCAGCTAAGGGGTAATTTCAGTAATGGAAATGGGAGAGGACCAGGTCCTGGATTAAGGTGGTATCCATGGCAAAGGAGGCAGGGGAAGGAACAGATTCAGGAGGCGTCAAGATGGTAAAAATTTACAGAAATTGGCTGGTAATTCAAGGTACAGGGTGAAAAGGAGTCTAGGATAATGTTCAGTTAATGACTTGGGAAAATGGTGCTGCCATTTCCTGAGGCAAGGAATAAGGAGGAAAAGATGATGAATCTGGTTCCGGAACATTAAACTTGAAGTGTCTGTAGGTCATTAAAGTGTACATTTTGTATGGAAATTTGAAATATGGCTCTGAAGCTTAGGAGACTGGATGAGTTGGAATAAACATTTGGGATGAGTTGTGATAAACGGTGGATAAGGCTGAGATTACTACGGGATTTATGAGAGTGAGAAGAGGATAAATAACTGAATCCTAGGAAACAGTAACATTTAAAAAGGCAGGCAGAAGACAAGGGAGAGACCAAATAGGTCAGATCTGAGAGGAAGGGAGATAGGAAGTTAGATTCATAGACATTGAGAGAAAAGAGTTTCAAGAAGGAGGAATGAATTATCATAAGAGTCAACTGCTGGGCAAAGTGAAATAGGGGTTAAGAGTGACTGTTGAAGTTGGCAATCAGGTTGGCAATGATGTCCTGAGAGTATGTTCTTTGGAGTGACAGAGTGGAGACCAGACTGCAGTGGACTGAAGTATGAATGGGACATGAGAAAGTAAAAAACAGACTCTTTCAAGTAGTTTGGCTTTGAAGGGTGATAGCTAGAAAGAGTCTAGGGTTGAGGGACCACTGCAGATTCATGAACTAAAGGGAGGAGCTGGTTATAGATATAGAGGCAGGAGGAGAAATATAGGGATGGGGGAGTGAGAGGTACAAACTATTAGGTGTAAGATAGGATATAAGGATGTATTGTACAACGCAGGGCATATAGTCAGTATTTTATAACTGTAAATGGAGTGTAATCTTTACAGTTGTGTAAAAAATTAAAGGTTTTTAAACATAATAATTATAAAATAAAATCCACTGCAAGTACAGAAATAAATAAAGGGGGGAATTGGTGGAGAGGAGGAAAGGGCATACCTGATGGCTGAGGGTCCAGGAGAGGTTGGGATCTATGCTGTAGGTGAGGTGATTATCCTTCAATGGGAGGAAATTCAGCACTCCCTCAGGGGGAGGGAGGACAAAGTCGAGTCTCAGAGACAAATACCTTTGTAGACTTGGAGGAGAGTGGTGTGAGTGATTCATATCTGGTGGATCCATTTTTACTAAGAATTTCAAGATAAGGTGTGGAGGAGAGTAGCAAAGGTTTGAATTAGCCTCTGGAAAGATTGGAAGAAGAATCTAATCAATGTCATGTAAGAGTAGAGCTGCATGTTTCTGAAGGCACTTGCTCACCCTGGCATGTGGGTTTGTTCAGACGCACTTTATAGCCTGCCTTTAAGGAGAGGACATGTAGACAAATTGAGCCAAGTTAGGCATTCCTAAGGCAGTGTGGGAGATTGACAAGGGAGGGCTGAGAAAGAAGGTGCAGGTTAGAAATGGTCAGAATGCTGTATTAAGGTGTCTACAATGGAGAGGGAAGGAAATGGGTCCGGAAAGGAAAACAAGATAGGAAAATGGCTGCGGAGAAAATGCAGGGTCAGGAGTCTAGAGGTCTTGTAAGGTCACAAGTATCTATGGCTGGAAGAATGAAACTGAAAGGTGGAAAGAAAGTAGGTGTTGAATTTTGAACTTCGAGAAGAGACTAGCATTGACTGGTGACAGAATGTAGGAGAGGATCTTCGGAAGCCATGTGAACAGAGTGAGCAGATGAAGTTGGTAGAAGTCAAGGACCTCCAGGAACCTCATGGCTGCATGTTGGGTGGGCTGTCTAGATAAGCTCTGAGATTTCCCAGATTGATGGGGCTACTTGGGTTAGAGAGGAAGTCTGTGAGGCAGGATGCAGAGTTTCAGTGATTTAGGAAGTGACAGAGCCAAAGAGGGACAAAGGGAGGATGTCAAGCTGGGCTGTGCTTCAAAGATGGATGTGAAGATGGTCATGATGTCGAGGTGGAGGGATGCATCCTTAGTACTTAGCATTTGGGGTGAGAAGTATCTTCCTATGAGAAGATTGCTGGATTAGAGGTCCTTATACAAATTCAGGTACCAGTCAGACTCTTGGCAGGAAATGGACGGCTCAGTCAAAAAAGTTTAATGAGGGACAATTTGCAAAAATGTGGATGGGGCTCAGGGACTTAGATAAGTGATGGGGAAATGCCCCAGGGCTGCCACAGTGAGGAGGATGAATCGTCCTTGGACCTGGGGTGGCAGGAGGAGGAACAGGTATCTGATCTCAACAAGAGCTGCCTGTGGTGGAAGATTGCAGTCACTGACAACTGTGGCTTGGCAGAGAGGAGACCATGCTTTCTCCTCTTGCCCTCTGATCTCCTGCTGGTGCCTCCCATGGGTGGAATCCAGCTGGAAGCCTGAAAGCAAAGAAATCAGGTTTATGCAGTTCATAGAGGTCAACCTCCTGTAGCACAGATGTGGCTGGAGAACGGGTCAGGGGAGGGGCTGGGCAAACAGAATACTGAGCTCAGCAGTGAAGATAATTCAGAGACTGAGGAAAATTAGGAGATTTATAGAGGAATAAGGGATTGAGGAAAGACTGTGTGTCTCTGCATGGCAAGAGCTCTTGGTCTTGAGGGCCACGCCTCGCCTGGTAACTTGTGGTGACGGGTGCACAGGTGCAAGGAGGGGGGCGTTTAGTTCCTGGTTTCAGCTATTGCTTTCATCTCTTTAATTGATAAATTCAATAGACTTTACCCTACTGAATTTTCCTTGTAAAATTTTGGTTTTTATTCTGGTCTCAGACAGTATTGTATATTAAAAAAAAATCAAGGCTCATAAAAGCAGTTTTCTATATTTTAGAAACAAACAAGCTGGCATTTGGGAGAAGATAGTGTTACAGGATGATTACTGTGTTAGAGAAAGGACCATAGCTGCCTTCTCCTGACACCTTAATGTCCATGAATATTTTCACCGTTCATGATATTCTTTGGAGCAGATTTTCTTATACATCTCTAGCCATAATTCCATTGTCATCCAGGATCTTGTTTTCCCTCCAGTGTCCCTATATCTTTTCAAAACCTGAAGTTAAATACAATCAAGGTTTTCCAGATACTTCAATGTAGAACATCATTTGAGTGAGCAGGGCTGTCCTTGGTTGAGAGGTGGATTAAAGATGCTCTTACTTTCTTTGGAAACTCTTCTTTTTGTGTATCACCTCTATCATTGACCTTGACCTCAAAAAGAGCTCTTCACATAGAAGAAAGCCATAGGCAAACGCTCTCCAGTAACTTACAATGCCAGTTGTTCTTACTAAGTGTGCTTTGGCTGCAATATTGCTAATAAGCTCGTCTCAGTTTTTATATATGAATGACTTGGGGTGACTACATGGTTCCTTGTGTAAAAAAATGAATATTTCTTGAGATGTTGTGGGTGATTGACAAAAGCCCCTTGGAGAAGTGGCAGGCGCAGAAGATGCCACTCAGAACTTTGGTTCTGCTCCTTACGTCTGAACTGGGACAACCCCTCAATCTCTTTGTACCTCGGTTT